TCCAAACTGTAAGAGAATAAACTCCTGTTTATTAAGGCCATCCCATTTGTGGTATATTCTTGTCAGAGTGGCACTAGGTAACCAGAACAATGTTGATCTTATAAATAACCTAAAATTAACCAGCTGCCATCAAGTCAGCCCCGACTCACAGCAAACCCATCTATGTCAGAGTAGAACTGTGCTCCATAGGGTTTTTTTTTTTTCTTTTAAACTTTTTTTGACTTTTTACAATAGTGGTTTCATACAGTATTTGTCCTTTTGTGATTGACTGATTTTACTCAGTATAATGGCCTCTAAGTTCACCCATGTTATGAGATGTTTGCAGATTCATCGTTGTTCTTTAACATTGCATAATATTCCACTGTATATACATAGCATTGTTGATCCATTCCTCTGCTGATGGTCATTTAGGTTGTTTCCATCCTTTTGCTATTGTATAAATGCTGTGATGAAAATGGGTGTGCATATATCTATTCATGTCATAGCTCTTATTTCTCTAGGATATATACCTAGTAGTGGGATTGCTGGATCATATGGTATTTCTATTTCCAGGTTTTAAGGAAGTACCATCCTGTTTTCCACAGTGGTTGTACCATTTTACAGTCCCACAGCAGTGTCTAAGGGTTCCAGTCTCTCCACGCCCTCACCAGCATTTGTTTTCTTGAACTCTTGTTTTTTTGAACTCTGCAATTAGAGCTGCAGTGAGATGATATCCCATTGTTGTTTTGATTTGTATCTCTTTAATGGCTAATGATCACAAGCATTTCTTCATGTGTTTGTTACCTACCTGAATGTCTTCTTTGGTGAATTGTCTGTTCATGTCCTCTGCCAAATGAATTATTTATCTTTTTGTTGGTAAATTGTTGAAGTTTTCTCTAACTTTTAGATATTAGCCCCTTGTCCATTATGTCACTGTCAAAATATTTTCCTCCTGTCTGTGGGTTCTCTTTTTACTCTTTTGGTGAAATTTTTTGATGTGCATTTAAGTGTCTGGTTTTTAGGAGATCCTAGTCATCTATTTTGCCTTCTGGTTTTTGTGCATTTTTAGTTATGTTCAATATTGTGTTTATGCCCTGTATTAGGGCCCCTAAATTTGTTCCTGTTTTTTCTTTGATGGTTTTTTACTTTTAGGTGTTACATTCAGGTCTTTGCTCCAACTTGAGTTCATTTTTGTACATTGTGTGAGATATATGTCCTGTTTCATTTTTCTGCAAATGGATATCCAGTTTTCCGGCACCACTTATTAAAGAGACTATCTCTTCCCCATTTAATGTGTCAGAGATCTTTACCCTTTGTAAAAGATCAGCTGTCCACAGGTGGATTGATTTACTTCTGGGTTCTCAATCCTGTTCCATTGGTCTATTTGTCTGTCATTGTACCAGCACCAGGCTGTTGTAACTACCATGGCTGTATAGTAGGTTAATAAGTTTGGAGAGTGTGAGAGTTCCTGCTTTTTGCTTCTTCTTCAGTTGTTGTTGTTATGTGCCATCGAGTCGGACCCGACTCATAGTGACCCCCTCCTTGGGTTTCCAAGGCGGTATCACTATGGAAGTACATTGCCCAACCTTTCTTTTGAGGAGTGGCTGGTGGGTTTGAACTGCCAGCCTTCTGGTTACAGTCAGGTGCCTTAGGCACCACACTACTAGAGCTCCTTCTTCTTCAGTAGTGCTTTACTTATCCATGTTCTCTTTCTTTTCCAAATAAAGTTGGTGATTGTTATTTGCCATCAAGTCGGCCCCGACTCATAGCGACCCCTCCTTGGGTTTCCGAGGCAGTATCACTACGGAAGTAGGAATGCCCAACCTTCCTTCCGAGGAGTGGCTGGTGGGTTTGAACCGCCAGCCTTCTGGTTAGCAGTCAAGTGCCTTAGGCACTATGCTACTTTTCCCATTTCTTTAAAGAAAGATGATGGAATCTGGATCAGGATTACATATCTGTCGATCACTTTGGGTAGTATTGACATTTTCATGATGTTAAGTCTTCCTATCCATAAGCATGATATATAGTCTTCCATTTATGTAGGTCTCTTGTTTTCTTGTAATAGTGTTTTGTAGTTTTCTTTGTATAGGTCTTTTGTTGTCTCTGATTAGATCTGTTCCTAGGTACTTCATCTTTTGGGCAGTCATTGTAAATGGTATTGCTTTCCTGATTTCCTTGTCAGAGTTCTCTTCGTTAGAGGATTGCAACTGATTTTTGTATGTTGATCTTGTACCCTACCACTTTGCTGAAACTTTCAATTAGTTCCAATAATTTTCTTACTGAGTCTTTGGGATTTTCTCTGTATAAGATCATATCATCTCCAAATAAAGATAGTTTTACTTCTTCTTTGCCAATTTGGATGCCTTTTATTTCCCTCTCTTGCCTTTTTACTCTGGCAAGTACTTTCAATACAGTATTGAATAGGAGTTGTGATAAAGGGGCAACCATGTTCATAAGGGAAATGCTTCCAGTCTCTCCCCATTGAGAATAATGTTGGCTGTTGGTTTTGTATATATATCCTTAAATATAGGAGCTCTGCCGGGATAGTGCCTAAAGCATTTGACTGGTAACCAGAAAGCCAGCAGTTCAAACCCACCAGCCACTCCTTGGAAGGAAAATTGGGCAATCTACTTTCATAGAGAAACTGCCTTGGAAACCCAAGGAGGGATCACTATGAAATATGTTGAGGAATTTCCGTGCTATTCCTATATTATTCACCATTTTCATCAGGAATGGGTATTGGATTTTGTCATATGCCTTTTCTGTGATGATTGATAAGATTATGTGGTTCTTTTCCTTTGTTTTATTCCATGGGGTTCCCATGGATAATCTTTTAAAGTAGATCACCAGGCCTTTGTTCTCAGCATATAATTAGCATAACCCTTATCACATTATTAATTTATATACCCTGATTATGCCTTCATTATATGTAAGGACTTAAACCTGATGACTAGAACAGTGGTGATGACAAAAATAAATAAGAAAGTTCAGAAAAGGATTTATTT